TGATAAAAGACCATGAGCAAGGCACTTTATAGAAGGAAGAGTTTATTTGAGCTTATGGTTCCAGAGAGTTAGAGCTCATGATGTCAGAACAAAGGCAAGGCAGCAGGAGCCACAAGCACCAAACAGAGAGACCAAACTAGCCATGGCAGGGGTCTTTAAACTCTCAAAGCCCACCCCCAGTGACATATTTCCTCCAGCAAGTCCACACCTCCTAAGCCACCCCAAAGAGTACCACAACTGGAGACCTAGAATTCATTGCTCAAGATTGGGGAGGGCATCCTCGTTCAGACCATCCACATTTGATTGCCTAAGGAAAAGCGTAACCAATAGACTTAGATCCAAAGCTGATAGATATTGTGTATATTTGAAGTGTGAGTGGATACTGTGATTCTTATTCTAAGGGAGCTAGAATCTGCCATTGGACCTATAAAGTAAGAGATGTGTGTCCCACTTTATACTTAGTCCTTGTGAGACTTCAGAAGCAAAAGCAAAAGAATATTGGTCAGACATGGTGGTGTACACCTTGAATCCTAGCACTCAGAAAGCAAAGGCAGGTGGATCTCTGTGAATTATAAACGAGCCTGGTAAATAGTAAGTTCCAGGCCAGCTGGGGCTATATAGTAAGACCATCTTTATAAGAAAAAAAAAAAAATGTGCTTGTGGTAGAATTTTAAAATGGGAACAGAAATTGAACACAAATATTGGAAAATCATTGTAGATGCTGATGGAGGTGGAGAGGTTCTTTGGTGGATGACAGACTCCAAAACAATCCAGAGGAGGAGAACGGCCTGTTGATTTCTCTGCCCCCTCACCTCCCTGCTCTGTGTCACTGTGTCCACAGCCACAAAGAAGCCTGGGACTCTGTCTTCTGTGCAGTTGCCTTTGAATGTTTTAAATGTTCGGTCTTTATCTACCTTCTTGAGTATGAGTATGTTTAAGTATGTATGGGTATTTGTGTACATGAACACAGGAATCTACAGAGGCCAGAGGCATTGGATCCTCCAGAACTGGAGTGACAGATGGTTGTGAGCAGTTGACATGGGTGCTGGAATCAGGTCCCCTAGAAGGCCAGTTCATACTCTTTAACAGCCAAGCCATCTTCCCAGTTCCCAAGTCCAGATATCTTTACCCTAAGAAGTAAATCAGGCCTCCCTCATAAAAGCAACAAGGGGAGGTGCTTCAGGACAGTTCATTTTCTAAGTTATTCCTCTGCCCGGGCTTTTTTATTTATGCTAAACTGGGCCCTTCAGCAGCAGATTTCCTTTTTGTGCCAACCTGGTTATTAGTAATGATAGGCCTCCTCTCCACAGCCTGGCAAGACTAACTCTTTGAACTATTGTGTAAGCCTACTGTAGTTCATTAGTCTAAACACCTTGTAGTTCTTGCTGCATCCTCCAGTGCTTATAATTCCATAAATTACAGTCTGTGAGGAGCGGTCTGCCGACCTTCCCTGTTACAAGCCCACAGTGGAGCAGTACTTACTCATTTCCTACCATGCCTGGTGGTTGGGGTAAGCATTTCTGTCGACCCACACACACATTTCCTTTCTTCCTTTTTTTCTCTCTGCTCTTTTTCTCTTCCTTGTCCCTCTATTCTTTGGACACCGCATTGCTAGGTGTGTAGTAGGTGCTCAGGAAATGTTTTCATGTGGTTCATTAACAAGAAATGAATATTCATCTTTTAATCATAATCTTCTGGTCCCAAGATGCTGTCCCTGAAGAAAGACTCCCAGGATGTCTGTAACAGTAATGCTGAACCACCTTTAATGCCCTCTGCTATTAGCCCACTGTTGACTCCGCATGCTGACAAACTGGTGTTAGCAGAGAGGACTAGCCAGGACCTCTCTCTGATGCACATCTTTTTACCCAGTGAAAGTCTTCGTCTCCAGCCCTTTGAAGTCATATGGGTAACATCACATGGTGATGACATACGGTGACATCCAGCAGTTGGCCCAACTCCTCCCTACTAGTAGGTACTACTTGTCCCTTCTAAGCACCTTGTTTTCTTACCGTCTTCATATCAGGAAGATGAAGACCACCTTCCAAGGATGGCCTTCTAGTTTCCTGAAAATGAGAAGAAATATATTATCCCTGCAAGGCTTTAGCCACTATTATTTTTAGAATTTATTTTCCAGTTTGCTTTGCAATGTTCTCAACACTTTGTCACAATGAATGTTTGTAATTCTTACAAACCTTTAAGGTAGGTGCTGCTATGGTGAAACTAAGGCAGCAGGCTAACACCTCAGCCCAGATCATGTGGGTGGTGAGTGGTAGGGCCAAGAAGCTTGTGCATTCTGCCTCCCAACACTGTTGGTTTTAACCACCACAATATGCCCTTATCATTCAAGGCAATTCTGTAGTCAGACATTATATATGACTAGGAAATCTTTAGAAGACCACATTCTTCCAAAATATTAAAGGATGCTGTGTGTGGCATGTTACTTAAGAAGAAGAAAAATAACAAACTGGGAAAAGCATTCCAATATATTTAGGCCTAAGACTTAACTGAGTAAGGCATTCCAGAACATGTAGGCTTGAATGGTCCTGGCTGAGCTCCCAGTGGCCACAGCTCTAGCCCAGTAGCCACTGAGTGAATAAACTATTTTACAACAAAGTCCCCAGTCAGGCTCTCCAAAAACACTGCCCTGGAGCACACAAATGGCATAATGGAGTGTTGACTTAAATGGTCAAATGTTAGGGGGACTCAGTCAAGTACTAATGATAGGGGCATCTCTGATAGCATCATCCTGGAAAATGGAGGACATATGATCTGTCTAGAAATAGACTAGTGTGTAAGCATGTCACTTCCTTGCATGCATCTTTCTGCAGACTTCTGTATACACATCTGCCTCCTAGTCACAGGCATTTCCGAGAAAGCAGTTATGTGCTGTGACTCCTAGCAGACTGTGTGTGTAGTACTCTTGGAAAGCAGCATTTTCATGCAGGTCTCCCTGAGCAGTTTTCAATCTATTCTCCCTTCCTCTCTTGGAACACTGGGAGTCGAACCTGGAGCCGTGCACTCACCAGGGAAGGTGCTCTACTGCTGAGCACCAACATCAGACCAGGAGGTCTAAGTCTAATGGAGCTCTTTTCACTTAGAAAGAGTTATTTAATTTTGCATCATTACTACAAAACAATACAAGCAAGAGATAAAGTACTCAGAACAGCAGTGCTTATCCAAGTACAGCCTGGGACACTCCCCAGGAGGCTGTGAGGTCAGAGTGATTTCATAGCAGCAGCGTGGTATTATGTGCCCTCTTCATGTTCCTTCTTTCCTGAGACTGAATGCAAATATTCACGAGAAAGCTCAGCTATCCTCTGTAAGACCAGCATTGTAAAGCATGGCAAACAGTGTGGGGTGGGGGGAGCTATTTCCCCTCTCACCTTTGTGTTTCACTTTGGAAAATATAGATTTCATCAGATGTTGTTCATCTTAATGTGTGATTGGTTGGTTTAATTACTTTTAAAATGAATTAGCAGGTATTTATAAAATTTCTGTTGTAACTTCTGATGTGGTTTTCACCATACAGACTGCCCACATCAAAGTTTTTTTCATATCCGCAATAATTTTTAAAAACATAATGGGATTTAAGACTAAATGTTTGATAGCCACTGAAATATGCTATCTCCTTGACTTTTGAAGCTTGTTATTTAATCACTCTGAGACTGCAGGAAATTGGAGTGATGCTATGTATACCTCACTTGTAAAAGGATTAAAGGACTCATACATGTCAGAAGCTTGTGCTGTGCATGGAACAGCAGGCATTCGGTATGAGGTAGCCTTTTCATACTGTCCTGTATGACTCCGGACACTGCTGAGGTATTGTTAAAGAAGTTTTCCTTGTGTCAGTAATGATCAGTACTGTTAAGGTATAAAAACAAAGTTGTTGGAAGAAACAGAATTGGATTTTACTGCTTTTGGTTTGGATTAAGTGACAGCAGTAGTTACTGACCCATGATCGGTTTGTAGATTATAAAGTGAGCTAAAGATGCAGACTAGCTTGAGCTGCCTTTCAAACTCCCCTACTGCTGGACCACCAGGCCCTCATCCCTTAGCCAGGGTCTACTCCAACCCTGACAGTGAATAGCAAAACAGACATCCTTGCAAAACCCATAGAGATGGCACTGTGTTCAGGCCCTGTGTTTAGCCTTACAGTCAAAACAGTCTACCTTAGCAAACATCTCATTCAGACCATGCTTTTCTTGTGGAGAAACTGAGACCCAGAGAAACTATTTGCTCACAGACGCTCTCCTTTGTATTAAGAGTCTCATTAGGACAGACCCACAATTTCTTGATTTATAGTAGAAAGGAGACCAGACTTGGAATTAGAAAGACTATCCTCAGAATTAATTCTAAGCTACAATCAGCTATTCAGCGGCAGTCAGTATGCTTAAGTCTCTCATCCAGAGGACCTCATTTGTAAAGTAGAGATGGAGGCAGCGACCTGTTGGTTTCTTGCCAGTCCAATTACCTGACTACTTAGACTACTTAGAAGAGGAGAGGCTCTTTTGGACCATGGTTTCAGACAGTTACATCCACAGTTGACTGCTCCCACATGTTTGGGCAGAAAGTCATGGCAGCAGAAGCTGTTCTTGTCATAGTAGATAGAGAAAAAGAAATAAGACAGGATGCAATCCAGGGACACTAAACTCCCGATGCTGGACACCAGGTAACTTGTATCCTCTATCTAGGTCCTACCTCCTGGAGCTTCCACGACACTGGGCAAAACTCACCATGATCTAGGCATAAGCGTTCTAATCATGTGCCTGACAGGGTCATTACATACTCAGACCATGACACTACTGTCTTGTAAAGGGTTTTGGAAAAGACCAAGTGGTTGAGACAGCACATGAAGGAACTGATAACACTTGGGTTTCAGTCAGTCCAGTGTTCCAGCCTTTGCCTGTAAGGACCACAGCAGGCAAACACTTACCCAACGGTGGGGGCTTCTATGCTGGGCTTCCTAGCCTTGTAACATTTTCTTTTTTCTGTCATTTTAGGACAACCCAGAACCCTGCAGGACCTGTGCCGAATTAAAATTCGACAGTGTATAGGCCTTCAAAACCTGAAGCTGCTTGATGAACTACCAATTGCCAAGGTCATGAAAGACTACTTAAAACACAAATTTGATGATATCTGATGTACCTGGACTGTGAGCAAGATTAAGAGTTATTCCAGCTACTCAAAAGGCTTTGGGCCTTGCACAAAGTATATCCTATGCAATTTCTGATTTGCTGTGAAGTCAGAAGGCGGCAGGTATACACTTTTAGGTTTTTTGTTTGTTTGTTTTTCATTTTAGGGGAGGGATATATATATACATATATATATGTATACATATATACATATATATGTGTGTGTGTACACACACACACACACACACACACACCACGCTTGAAGGTCTTAATTCGATTTCTTGGTCCAAGTCTATGAGGTCCAAGCCTCTCTATACAATACTGCATTTAGAAAAATTATTTTTCCTAAATGCACAAACACAGGCAGGTTTGATGCTCTGGTTTCACTGGTGAACGAGGTACTAGAAACCAGTAGAACACTTGTTAAGTTTGGAGGTCTCGGGTTCACCTAGGAGATCCTAGGTGACGCTGGAAAATTCCTTGCGAAGAAACTTGCAGTAATGCTATCACCTCATTCATTTTTAATGAGTACAGATGAGCTGTTTAAAAACTCTTTTTTTCCCTTCTAATTAATGTAGCTTTCCAATGGGGGAAAAAATTCCAGTACCTCTGCTTCCTTTTGGTGTGCGCTTATTTTTAAATTATTTTTTTTAAACAGCTGTAGGACACTACCCTGAGACATTGTGTTTTGATTCTCTCTCTCTTGTTGAATTGTGCTTTTAAAACAAAATCAATGGGGAAAGGAATTAACTTTTTAAAACCAGCGTGTTCTGTTTTTAAAAACAGTGCCTCTTGCGCGGCTCTCTTTTGGTGTAGTCTCTCGGCCTCTCACGCTTCCCATTCCTCGGTCGCCGACTTCCTCGTGCCCCCCCAGAGCAGGAACCGCCACCTTCCATTCCCGATGCACACCCAAAGTGTGTCACTTCATCTTCCATTTTTAAGCTTTCTGTTTCATTTCATTGAAGGAACAAATTCTATATCCTGGTGATACAGTGTTCCCTAGAAATAGCCCATAGTCTTGCTAAACCATTTAATTTTAATGATTAAATAATTTGGGGTGGTTTCATGGTGTTTTTGTTTTTTGTTTGTTTTGTTTTTTTCTTCCTGGTAGTATGTATACATATCTCATGGGCACTCTTATGAGTCTGGCAAATTGCTAATATGCTAATTAAATATTTCCTGTCTGTTTTGAAGGTAGGTACAGTAAAGCTCTTCAAGGCAAATATTTGATTTTTCTGGGCTGTTTGGTCATGTGTGTGCAAGAGAGACCCAGATGTGGAGAAGTGTCAGTAGCAAGGGAGAAGGTCCCGTAGGCACTAGGCATCAGGGATGTGCCCTCGGACACATGCTCGCTGCTTCATTCGTCATTATGTTAGTTTGAGGAGAGCCTCAGTGATGATGCCCCGATGATGTCATTCTTAGTGCCATGACAAATTTTTTGAATATTTATAACTGTTAATAAATTTGCTATCATAAGTTTGCAAGGTAAGGGCTTCTCCTTTCTTGTCAGAATTGCCAGTTTGGGGGCATTGAACATAACTCTTTCACCACAAAGTGTGACTAAACAGAATCCAGTTTCACCTACTTCAGGCCAGCAGTGCCATCTTCTCAAGCCCAGAGTTTGTCTTGGCTGCAAAGTAGCTGTGGCGTCAGAGCATGGAATCTTCATGTGCCTAAATGGTACACAAATTCCTGCACAGACAGCTTGGGCAAGAAAGATGATTCAGGCACTGGGTAGTGTGGCCCCATAGACTCCTTCAGCAAGCTAGGGCACATGTAGCCAGTTACAGCTGATCCCTGAGTAGCTGGGAACACAGTGGATAGGGATGGTGTCTGTTGTGACCTTGTCTGAAAGGTTATCTCCATGGAGACTCCTGTGAAGACAGCTGATCCCTGAGTATCTGGGAACACAGTAGATAGGGATGGGTACCTGTTGTGACCTTGTCTGAAAGGTCATCTCCATGGAGACTCCTGTAAAGACAGCTGCATAGCTGTCTTCTCATTCTTTATTCAGGACCCAGGTCAAGGCTGGAGACCCATGAACAGCAGCAGCCTGGGGGACACAAGGTGACCAGAGTTCTTGAGTGTAACTTCTGTTAGAACCCAAGCCCATCATGGGAAGCGGTAGGAGGAGCCTGGAGGCTGCACTCTGAGCTGCCGTGTTGGTGTCCCAGTGGCACAGGACTCATGGGTGTGTTAATTTGTTCAGTGAGTTAAAAATGACATTCACTCCCATGAGACTGAGTCAGGGAATCCGAAGTAAAAAGATCATATTAAGGAAAATTCTTTGTTCTGTGTGCTGCTGTGACTTCAGAAAAAAAAAGAAAAAAAAAATTATGAGCGCTCTTCCTGGAATTGAAAATTCTATTTAATGAAGAAGTCTATAATTCCATTATTTATTGTTTGAGGTTTGATTTATCTGGAAGTTAAAAGAATGTTCTTTGTTTATTAATAGAACTGCAGTCATACACTGTGTCTTGTGGTGACTGAAAGGCTGTATAGCTCCTACTGTGACTGTGATGACATACAGGTCTGCACCTGAATTTGATTATCAGAGAAGTGTTCTGTGGCCATGAGGAGAGAAAAACAAGCATTTTCAGAAACTCCGCCTATTGGCTATTCTAGAATCTTGTCTCACAATTCGCCACTGATTCTTTTGTGTTTCTTTTGAAATGTATTATTTAATCCTATTCCTAAAACTTTATAAAATGCATTTGGCAAAGACACCAAAGAAACCAGCTCATAAAAGATTATGATCATTAATGAACTGCAAACCTCATCTTTTGCAAACAAGGGTGTTTCTTTGTAAATATTTGTGTTTATAAATGTACAGCAGAGTAAGAGTGGTTTTTTAGATTATTTAATTCCCATATTTCTAAACTATTTACTACAGAATAACCCGTGCTCATTAGTTTGGATGACTTGATTGTTTTGGTTTTTTTTTTTTTTTTTTTAATTCATTATCAGTCATGCGTGGAACAACATTTCGCTGGAGAAGTCAGCATTCTGGCAGTGGCAGGAGTCACTTTTGGAGCATGAGGGAGTCTAGATTCACACCCTCGTAAGACACAAGAAAGTGTAGCTTAATAACCAGAGTGGACCATACGAAAGCGCTTCTAACTTCCCTACTGAATCACTGGTTAGCCCAGGATGGGATTGGGACAAGGCCGTTTGCCCACAAATTTAGCTTTCATGTAACTCCCAGTGTGTTGTATCATAATATATTCTGTTCTTTCTTTGTAATGTAAGTTTTGCTTTGGGTCAATTTGAATTAAAAAAAAAAAATCTTAAATCTGGTTTAAAAAAACATACTGGATTCATGGTGTTTTGTTTGTTTGTTTATTTCTCCTCTGCCTTAACGTCTTCACAGTTGCAGGTGTTTGTTAAAATGAAATAAAGCTGTGTTCTTCCCCAGCATGTGAAGTCACCGGTGACTGTAAGAAAATGATTTCCAAAGCAGCTCCACATTTCACGCCAGTTCTTATCCCCCTTTTTATTCATTTACTTTCTAGTATTTTGTACATTAACTTAACTTTATTTGTGGAGGCCAGAAGGCAATCTGCAGGAGTCTGTTCTCTCTTTCTACTGTGTGGGTCCTGGGGGTCAGGCTTGGCTGCAAATCCCTGAATCTCTGAGCCTCTCACAGCCCCAGTCCCCTTTAGAGTGCACTCTGTGACTTCAACCCAGAAAAGGACTCGACCCTGAGGGTGTCCATCCAGCACAAAGGCTTCTTGAGCCAGAGTCATTTTCTGCCATGTCTCCACTAGGAAGACAGGTTCAGTAGCTACTTCTCTGTCACTGCGAAGAAACACCACAACCAAGACAACTTAGAGAAGGAACTTAGGCTTACGGTTCTACAGGGATAATAGTCCAGCATGGAGTATAGTGAGCAGGCATGGTAGCTAGAGCAGCAAGCTGAGAGCTCACACCCTGATCCACAAGCAAGAAGCTGAGCGAGAGAGCTAGTAGTAGGGCAAGCCCCTAAAGCCTGCAAAGCCCGCCTCCAGTGACACACTTCCTCCAACAGAGCCACAACTCACCTCCCAAGCTTCTCCAAACAGCACAGCTCTCTGCCTGGGGACTGAGTGTTCATAAACTGTGGAGGAAATGTTTCTGTTCAAATCACAGCAGTGAGTACAGACCATGGCACACACAGGCACAGCAGATCTGTTAGCCTGCAGGAGATAGCGGCAGAGCCCTAGAGTTTGCACTTCCTCCAGGTACCATAGGGACAGTTTGATTTGGGAGAGACCTCTAGATCCTATGAATGATGGCATGCCAGGGAAAAGGAAAGACAGGCTGTTGAAGTACCTCATGTGGGACAGTGATATGCTGGAATTACAACTTTGCTGCATGCTTATCCAGGGTTTGGTGCAAATGAAGGCCAAGAATGGCACATTTGAAACCATTTATGAAAAATAGCTGTATTGCCTGGAAATCTTGGAGTCATTCCTTTTCTGATATGATGTAAGGAATGTGTTGTTTTCTCAGCTGAAAGGCATTACACAAAGTGGCTTATGATCTGGTGGTAGAGTGTACCATCTGCTTGATAGAAGAAAGATTTCCACGCCCATGTAGTTAAATGTCCAAGATGAAAAAAGACTGTGTCACCTCTCTCTGTCTCTAACTTTAGGCAGCACCATGTTCCTTAAGAGAAGGAATGATGGCTTACATTCTGATGTGTATCCCAGGCTAGCCTCTAATTAGTCGTCCCCCTGCCTTAGCCTCCTGAGTGCAGGAGTAAAGAAACAAGCTTTCCCTGCCTGGTTTTAATGCTAGTATTGTCACTCAAAACTAGTGGAGACCTTATAAGCATCCTCTGCTAGATCCTGGGGTTCTGGGACAGCTGCAGTAGACTCCTGCCATACAAACTGGTGCTTCTTTATTCTTGCCAAATCTGCTGGTGCTACCTGCCTGGTAAGTGTTAGGTAATCAAAGGGTCAGCCAGCATAGGTGCCAGCTGGATCAAACCATTTCCTGTATATCTCTGGTTCCATGTTGCATACAATTGTGCATTCTATAGATGCTTCTATATTGAATTTGTTCCAGAAGAGTTCTCTTTGTGTAGGGACAAGTTAACAGTCTTCACAGACCAGAGCACATTTGAAAAAACAGGCTTGGTCAAGAATATTCTTCAATAGAATGTCAGCGCAGTGATAAACCCCTGAAACCCAATTCTGCGGCTGGCAAGATTGGTCTCTCAGCCTAAGTGAGGATCTTTCATTAAGTGCCTAGGTATGTGTGCGTGCGTGCGTGCATGTGTGTGTGTGTGCGCGCGCGCGCGCGCACGCACGTATGCATGTGAGAGTGAGTGTGTGTGTGTGTGTGTATTATTGTTGTTGCTGTATACATCTTCAAGCAGAACAAGTTTTCAATCCTGAAGACATGATACATTAAAAGTTGATCTGACATTTAGGAGCCCGAGATAGGGCTCAGCAGCCAAGAGTACTGCTTGTTGGAGAGAACCTGGATTCAGTTCCCAGCACCCACATGGTGACTCACAGCCATTTCTAACTCCAATTCCAGGGCAATGTGATGCCCTCTGCTATCCTCCTCAGATGCCAGACATCCATTTGTTACACATACATACATGCAAGCAAGCGCTCCTGAAATAGTTTTTATTTTTAATCTTTAAAGCTAGAAAAATATTTTTTCTGTTGTAAATCATAACCTTTGAAAACTAGTAGGTATTTGTTGTTTTTCCATTTTTATTGAAAGTTCATTTTTTTTTCCTCATGTAACGTATCCTGATTGTGGTTTCACGTTCCTTTACTACTCACAATTTTTCCCTCCCTCCCCTTCCATGTGAATCTACCCCCTTTCTGTCTCTAGTTAGAAAACAAACAGGTTTCTAAGAGGTAATAATAAAATAAAATATATAAAACAAAAACTAATGTATTGAAAGAAAAAAGCAAAAGAGCAGGAGACCCACTCAGTCTCACACTGAAGCATCCCATAAAAAGCCTGACTTGGAAGCCTGGTGCAGCCCCGTGAGGGCCCTGTGCATGCTGTCTCAGTCACTGTGAGTTCATATGTGCTTCCATCACATTGATTTAGGGGGCCTTCTTTTCTTGATGTCCTCCATCTCCTCTGGCTGTCATACTCTTTCTGCAGTGTTCCCTGATCCCCGACGGGAGGGATTGATGGCGACATCCCATTTAGGGCAGAATAATCCAAGATCTCTCATTCTCCATAATGTCTGTCTGTGAGTCTGTTTTTTTTCCCATCTGCAGGAAGAAGTTTCTCTGATGATGGCTGAGCCAGGTACTGATCTATGAGTATAGCAGAATATCTTTAGGAGTCATTTTACTGGTACATTTTTGTTCGTTTTTTAGCTATCAGGGAAATGCAAATCAAAACTACTCTGAGATTTCATCCTACACCCACCAAGACCAATAAACAAATGACAGCTCATGCTGGTAGGAGTGCAAACTTGTATTGCCATTACAGAAATCAGTGTGGCAATTCCTCAGGAAGATGGAAATTGGATCTCCCTCACTTGAGCGTACATCCAAAGGAAGCTTCATCCTACCATGCTCATTGCTGCTCCATTCGTAATAGCCAATAAATGGAAACAACCTAGATGCCTTCAACAGAAAAATAAAGAAAATGTGGTACATCTACATAGTGGAGTATTACTCAGCCATTTTTTTTTAAATGAAATTCACAGGAAAGTGGAACTAGAAGAAAAAAAAATCATTCTAAGTGAGGTATCTCAAATCCAGAAAGAGAAATGTGGTTTGTATTTGCTTCTATATGGATGTTAGCTGTTAAGTCAATGATAACCAAGCTACAATTCATAGAACCACAGTGGTTATGTATAGAGTAAGGAACTAGAGTGGGCACAGCTAGGTCTCCCTAGGAAAGAGAAATGGAACAGATAGTTATGGATGGACCGGGGGAGATGCTGGGATAGGAGGACCAAGTGGGAAGGGGAAGGGAAGAGGGAGATGGTGATAGAAGGTATACAGGGAGAGACAGGTAAATTTGTGAGACATTTTAGGGTAGAATGAAAACCTAATACAATAATAGAAGCTTCCCAAAATATACAGATACACAAAGGTGATTTAACTGAAATCACCAAGTAAATTAGGGAGACAGAGCTCTTGTCACCAAATGAAGTTTCCAATCCTTGGACTGTGGTACAATTAATTGAGTTGTTAGTCAAAGGGGTCCCATGGAAATCACCAAGCAACCCAGGCTGTTGCCAAGACAATAGGTTGCTCTCCACAAACTGACAGCAAGGCCCCATTGCTGAAGACCACACCTACACAAGTCATTGAATGTGGTGAAGTTGAGCTGGTGCCTTCATCCCTGTCTGTGTTCTAGTGTCCATGTTACAGAAATGTAACTGCATGCTACCAAAGGTTAATGGAAACAACAAGCCAACCTCAAACTCTTGGGTCAGCAATGGTGTCCTGCCTTCAAGATACACTAGTGCAATAGTGTCACAAAGCTTGTGGGAGTAACCAAGCAATATCTAATCTGATTTAAGGCCACTCCATGAAACAGAATCTATACCAGACGCTGCTTGGGTGACTAAGAACCTGAGACTAGTAGTCCAGGAACTAAGGTAAACCCAAATACTACTGTTCTATTTTTAGAAATTTTAAATTTAAAAAAATTTTAAAAAATTGTTTTTATCATAAATAATATTAAATCTTGGCTTGTTCTAGGATTCAGAAATCTCATTGGAAATTAGTGTGTGTGCAACTGTGTATGCACATAATACTCATCTGTGCTGGCCAGAAATTTGCACTGTATGTCTTCTATCACCATCCACGCTATTTTTTGAGACAGAATCTCTCATTAAATCTTGAGCCAGCCAGCAAGCCCCTGTGATCCATTTGTCTGTGCCTCTGAGGGGCTGGGATCCAGTTACAAGTCATCACATATAGGAATTTATGTGGGTTCTTCTATTTTTTTCTTAGGGAACTTTTAAATTAATATAAATGTAGTTTAAGTCATGTTGAGGATGGAGAAATGATTCACTTCTCAGGGAAACCAAGTTTTACCCATCAGGTGGGGTGACTGTGTGTGGTGGTAGATTCCATTTAAGTTGAGAAACTGGCTTGTGTCATGGGTAGACTAAACCTCCACTGACATGGTAGTGACGCAGCTGGAGAATTCCTATTTTATCTGGCAAACCCAGTCCTCTTTGTCCCACTCTTCAGCTTTGACCTCATGATGCTTTTCTTCCGCTATTAGTTCTGGGTCAGGTTGTATAGCTTCATTTTCTTTGTCTTTCCCAGAATTAAGAGTGCTTGGAGATAATGGAATTACTGTCCATGACTCTTACAGATGCTACT